TGGTACACTATCACGCAGACCCACCGACTCACGGAGAGAAACCAGAAGATCGATCGCCCGTTTCTCCATCTGTGGTATGAGAACCGGCACAGTCCCTCCACGTTTGCCACGCGTTTTGATCAGGCACATCTTATTAGAAGGATGAATAACCTGTTGCTCATTTCTATCAGAAATAGAAAAAATAAACCAATATATATTCGGGCGTGGCCCTTCTTCAGTGGTACAAGATCACAATAAAACAAGAGAGACGTATGTGACACACATGAGGCAAAATACAATATTTTGAATCAAATCACTCACAGATATTTTGCATGCGCTTCCAAGATAGGCGTCGATCTAGATTTAGATAGTAATAAATAGCTAATAAATGGTGGCACAGTACATACATATGGCACATACATACATATATATAGGTACAGTTCAATACGATACAGGTAAGCTCGGTAGTGTGGTTCGATGCCAGATATTGTGCCTGTACCGACGCCCAGCACTCTGTGGCCCCACCTAGCGATTCTGACCTTAGGCAGGCTTTGTCGAACACGACTTTTAACGGGCCCACACCAGTCAGCAACACACAAACAGAGAGTAACACGTTACGTTCAGCTGCAGGCCCAGATAAAGTTCTCAACCTGACCGGTCAGAATCTGTCCGAAAACCTCTCGAATATGCTAAGTAATGGGCCTAATTTCGCCTTATCTCGCAACATCTGCAAAAAGGTGCTGTACAACGTAGAAAAGGGCTTAGAAAGAGGAGCCTTCGCACTTCGTTGGAAGCTAGATCTTCTATCTAGACGGCACGCACATCAGGAACTATCACACACAGACCAAGAACAACAGACACATCACCAACTGCGACAACAGCACCAACAGCAGCCCCAGCAGCAACAACAGCAACAACAACCCACGCACATAAACAACCCTAACAACGACAATGATCAAAACAGCCAGCCTAGTATCAAACAACTAAACTTAGCACCAAGATTTAGTGATACAGACACCAGAATGGCACCAACCTCTGACCAAGACACAGAACGTGCACTCAGAGCACTCAAACAAAAGGTCATGAACTGCTTCAAAAACCATCGCACCTCGAACAAACCTAACCACTCAAAAGAAGATTTAGACGCTTTAGATGCTATTCGCTCCGATCCAGAAATTATTGCAAAACGCTCTGATAAGGGCAAAGGATTTGTTCTTATGCCTAAGGATACATATGTTCAAAAAGCACAGTCTATCACATCCCAGTATGAACAGATGCCTAAGAATCCCACACCCCGACTTGAAGCTGAGACAAAAAGAATCATTTCGGCAAACCTAGCGGGGAAAGTCAGTGACAAAGTCGTCAACGCGATAAAACCCTCCTCTTCTAGGACTGCTGAGCTATACGGTCTACCAAAGAGCCACAAGCCCGATATGCCCCTTAGACCTATAGTTTCAGCCTGTGGTGACCCCTTGGATAAACTGACATGGTTTTTGGAACGGCTCATAACCCAACTTCTGATCTTCGTCCCAGCTCACTTGAAAAACACCTACGAATTTCTCAACCGCTTAAATGAATCCTTCCCCAGACGTGTGCCAACTGGTTCGATTTTATTCACAGTTGACGTAGCGAACCTCTACGGAAACATTCCCATAAGCGAAGCGATAGATTTCACGATGAAGCTTATCTCTAAACACAAGGAAAAGATAGACCTTTTAGACCTTAGCCCACCTATCATAGAAAACCTCCTGAAGCACTGTTTGACCAACAACTACTTAAGATTCGGACAACAATACTTCAAACAAACCCATGGGATTGCCATGGGCAGCCGCGTGGCTCCCCCTTTGGCCATTATATTCATGGACGCGATTGAAAGTATGATCCTCGCTTCAGCAAATCTACAACCAGCCCTATATGTAAGATATATTGATGACATTTTCGGAGTCTGGACACACGGACCTGATACTCTAGACGCCTTCCTCGATTACCTCAACAACTTCCATCCCTCGCTTAAATTTTCTATCGAACGCAGCGACCGATCTGACAAAAAACAAATCCCCTTCCTCGACACCTTGGTAACGCTGGAAAAAAAATAACTCATTAGCCACTGAACTCTACATAAAACCCACGGCCGCTCCCATCATCCTTCCATTCACATCAGCCCATCCCTTCCAGACCAAAAGATCGGTGCTCTACTCTCAACTTCTAAGAGCTCAGCGTCTCGGAAGTTCAACATCAGCCCAGGAACGCGGCATGAACAGAATTGAATCGCTGTTCATCGCCAACGGCTACCCCACTAAGCTCATCAGAAAAACTAAATTCTCAGTAAAAACGAACAGCAAAGTCAAAACGAGTGATAAAGAAAAGATGAGCCCGGCACAAAAACTATCTAAAAGCCCTAGTGACATCACGTACGTCACCCTTCCCTTCATAGATGATAACCTCTCTAGGAAAATCGAATCCATCGTGAAAAAGTCCAACCTGTCGATGCGAATAGCATGGCAAAGTGGCCCCACCCTCTCACAGAAACTCACCAGCTCAGCTCTAGAAAAGCCACCGTGTCCAGCAGGGAACAAAAAATGTCACTGCTGTCTAGCTGGACTCAAGGGTAGATGCCACGTAAAAAACGTAGTCTATCAGATCATTTGCAACCTCTGCACCCAAAAAGTCACCTACATAGGTGAAAGTAAAAGAAGCGTTAGGCTCTGCTTTAACGAGCATCTACGTGACGCCAAAAACCACACAAGAAACACCCCTTTCGGAGAACACTTCATGACCTGCCATTGTAACGTAGAGCCGAGCCACGATGCCCTCTCCATTACAATTCTTCAAATCTGCAAAGACGTAGCTGAGCTGAAGATCGCCGAGTCCATCGAAATTCGCAATCATCGCCCCACACTCAACACAATGACATCATCTTGGACGCTCATCAAGCCAGTACCATACTCAGAGCTATAGACGGTCTTGTGATCACGCCAGATAGTACATACTTAGATTTTGATTAGATCACATTATTTGACGCCTTCACTCACACATCGTCGGGACTAATTCCCTTACTCTTTCTTGCTTTTACCCATTCATCCCCCAATCTTCACTTACATATTCACTTACATATCCACGATTAACACATACACAAACATAGCCCCCCCCCCCACACACACACCTACACTTACGCTCATGCACTCGAACTCACAAACACATAACAGTGACCATACTGTCTGATGTCTGATGAGGCTGATGTCGAATAGTTAGCAATGTTATACAAAGTGCTATTCTTGGTATAGGCTATGGTGACAGTATAGGCTATGGCGAATATCATGCCACGATGTACAGGACGATGATTCGTTAAAATGACCTATCTAGGCATATAAATGTTGTTATGCAAACCGAGCTTACCTGTATCGTATTGAACTGTACCTATATATATGTATGTATGTGCCATATGTATGTACTGTGCCACCATTTATTAGCTATTTATTACTATCTAAATCTAGATCGACGCCTATCTTGGAAGCGCATGCAAAATATCTGTGAGTGATTTGATTCAAAATATTGTATTTTGCCTCATGTGTGTCACATACGTCTCTCTTGTTTTATTGTGATCTTGTACCACTGAAGAAGGGCCACGCCCGAATATATATTGGTTTATTTTTTCTATTTCTGATAGAAATGAGCAACAGGTTATTCATCCTTCTAATAATCTTATTAACAATGCTCAGCTCAACGTTCAAATACCTGAAATCAGGCACATCTTGTCCATGATCTGTTTCTCCAAGTCTGATAGCGAATTGACGACTGTCTCGTTTTGGGTGTACGCCGCTCTTGAAGTGTAATCACGGACACGAATCTTCATGGACTCTCCACCTCTACGTTTGTTGAACACCATGAGGCTGACGGCTGTTACGCACGCCAAGGTGTTGTATGACTTGACGCTAGGCTTTCTACTCACAGACTCCATCGTGGATGCCAGTTTGGTCTGAAGGTGGTTCTGTAGCCGTTTCATATCTTCGGTGGTTGGCAGCTGTTTCTCTGCGTTCTGTTTTCTCAAATTCAATGTTTCGAGTGAGGCGCGCCCCATTTTATCGCCCCATTCGTTTTCTAGCAGTCTCTTGAAGATGGAGATTCGGTTCTGCATCTCCGTGTTTCCTTCTCGCATACTGACGCCCAGTAGTACATGGCAAACCTTCCCCAACGCAGTTCCCACTGTTCTTGGCACAGTAGGCACTAGGAACGTTGGTGGGGTCAGCTTAGTGCCTTCCCTGTATCCCGCTGCTTGCTTTGTCACATGCACAATGTCGTCAAAGTATCGAGCGTCACAAAGCTCATCCATAGTGAGGTTTGGCTGACTCTTCCTGTCCCGTACATCTAGGAGAACTTTGGCTAGTTTGGTCACTCTGGTTTTTATTGGCTTCAAGTGGTTTTCGTTTTTTCCTTTGCTTTCTACGGTGTAGTTGGCATCACTGAAAACATTTGTACACCTGTCCCGAGTGTAAACCCGCGGAACAGGTGTCGTTGATCAGGTTCCATTTTTAAGCATCTGAACAGGTGTCAACTAACCCTTCATCAAGGCGTCATCGAACACCTGCATCAGGTATCAACACCCAATGTTTACACGCGCATCGAGTATCAACGCTCGATGTTTACACCCGCATTAAGTATTAACACCCACTGTTTACACCCCCATCGAGTATCAACGCCCACTGCTTACACCCCCATCGAGTATCAACGCCCACTGTTTACACCCGCATCGAGTATCAACACCTACTGTCTACACCGGCATCGAATTTAAGCACCTACTGTCTACACCTGCGTTGTGGGTTACACCTGCGCTTAAACACCTCTCCCGCGGGTACTTTCCAACACCCGTCCCACGGCTCCCCGCGTAATGAGTGTAACTGCACACCCTTGAGAAAACAACTGTTTTTGGCGAACGACTTTATTTAAAAAAAAAAAAAAAACAACACGACACAAACCGAAATGACAGCACATCTGTTGTCATTTCGTGTCAACAGAAGTGTGAACAGAAGTGTGTCAACAGAAGTGTGCGTTCTGCCGCAACCGCAGAGCCACCCCTCAGCTACCCAGGATGGCTGACCTGCCAGAGGCGAGAGTCGACATGAGACGACCTTTCAACACACGACTATCTCGGCCCACTGACAGTGAAGAAGTTCCGCAAGACGGAAAAAGGTAAGTCTTACCCGACTCAGTCGGGCCTCAGATGGACAGTCAGGCGACACGAATCTACTGAGCTTGACGCTTACTGAGTGATACGCTCCAGGCCTTTCGGGGGCTTCAGCACGTCTGTTTGGAGAACCATAACGGTTGCCAGGTATGCGGAGCACCGCGTGCTTTTCTTGGTCGGCTTTTGAGCGAACACCGAGAACGCAGCACCCCATGTGAGGAACTGGTCGATCTTGTTCAGTATCTCAAAATCAGCTACCTTCTCTCCCTCGACCCAGAGGGCATCACGCCATATAACCATTGGACCTCCGGCCGTCGGTGCCGCGTAAAGAGCGTCTTCCTCGCGAAGTTCGATGAGGAGATGCTCCAGCGCAGCTTCTAAAACACACAGACACACATAGACACGCATGTCAGTTACCAATGCAACACTGTCATGCCGTAAAATACAAACTGCACACACAATAGCTCGTTTTTTTTTCAAAAGACAATCCGACGTTTCGTTTATATTTTTCATTATCCTACCACAAACTAAAAACTGGTAAGAACATTATCATGCAATGAGGGAGCCAAAGCGCCACCAACCACCATCCAATCTTTATAGATACTGAGTCCACGTGTCCACGTGGACGCGCATCGAGAATCTCGAGAATCTCAGTCCACGTGTATTTCTCAAGAAGTTGTTCCTCGAACAGAAGCACACAAAAAATGTCATCCAATTTCCCTTGGGATCGAACGTTTCCAATGCTACAATAAATACCTCCGAGTGTCTGTTCTTTCGCCTTGTTCCCTAGGGGATTTCCTGCCTGGAATCCATCATAATACAGAACGAGGGAGAGCGTGTCATTCTCTACAGTGCGATGAGCTGTCCCATCTTGCAGCCCCTTCAGCTCATCTGGATCATCGGAGGGCGATAGAACATCTTCAGATGAAAGAGTTCTGATGCGGGAACTCAGCTGATCCTTCAGTGATATGAACTGATAAGAGTGTTCTTTGCCCTTCTCATCTTTGCCAAGAACAATGGTCTCCGGTTCAACAATATCAAATTCTTTCAGAGCTGTCGCTTCAAGATGATCATTACCCAACAGCTTCGCGCAGTTCTTCAGGCATGGTACGTCAGGTTCTGAGCATCCACTGCTTCCACGTTCTTCATGTTCTGTGCCTTTTCCCTCTTCATACTCTTTGATTGCACTAGTAGTAAATGAATGGACAAAATCTAGCACATCCCGGCATGAGCTTTCAATAACATTTTTGGCCCTCAGGCGAACAATCAAGGAAGCCAGCTCCTTACGGGAGTCATAAATTGGGCCTGTCTCACTCTCAGCTGCACTAGGATGCCTTGTATTATCTTCGTCAACAGACTCACTAGTCCTGGAGTCTGTGTCCACCACGTGTGATCTCGATGTCTCGGTATCTTCTGGAATATTATGGGTTTTCAAGTGCCTACTCCAGCCCGGAACAGATGTAAAAAAACGTTTGCAGATTGGACATACTATGCGAAAATAGGGATTTCCAGAATGTTGCCTCGCATGTTTTGAAGCGTCACGTTGAGTACCAAAATACAGAGAGCAATGGCAACAAGAGAATCTTATTTGGTCTTGTCTTGATGTACAGCCCTGAAAAAAAAACTTTACAAATGAACAGAAGTTGGGCAAATAGGGCAGAGAATACGTACAGGATTTATTTGAAGAGGTCTGCACGGCTACACTTTCCTTCGGCCGTTCCGGCCCATATCCGTGGAGCCAATGTGTAGCCGCCCGGCCCGACAGCCATGCCTAAATCCGAACAGCAGCTTGCTGCCTGGCAGGGTTGTTACGAGCAGAAACCCAACCCACTGGTGTGTGTGTGTGTTTTTTTTTTTTTTGGTGGGTAGGTAATTGAAAGCAAAAACCCAAGGTGGGTTTTTGCCCTAATTCGGCTCAGCTTCTAGGCAACGTAGCGAGACGTGCAAGGTGGCATTCAAAAGCTCGTTAAAAATCATTACGAAAGTACTTAAGTCATCTTTAGGTCAGGTCAAAACGAGGTTACCAGAGGTCACCGAAGAAAACAATGACCGTTTTGACTTTCTGAATTAACTTTTGTTCCAGAAAAGATCCAGGAACGATTCACACACCATTGTGCTTAGCTCGTCAAGGCACATCGAATGATATATAATATGACATTAAAAAGTCAAGTAAAAAGTTGGCCTTAGGTCAAGGTCATGACCTGATCCAAATAGGTCATGTTGCATATCAGTCGATCTGCATTGACGAGACAAAAACACTGGACGCTGTTTGGAGCTTCTATCTCTACCCAAACGAAAGTTATTGCAGAAAAACCGCTGATGACCTCAGGTGACCTCAGATGACGTAAGGAGCATCTTCCAAATGACAGGGGTGATTTGTTTCGGCGGAATCACCGACAGGGACCTGTAACACCATGCTTCTGGGCATTTTGAAGACATTGGATGACACTCAGAGGAAGTTGGATGTTTCCGCCGTTTTCTGGCAATCCGAAAAAAAACGCAAGGTGTGTTCAAACCCCCTCCCCCCGGAACAGGGCGCGGGTTAATAAGCTCATTCACTCGATGTCAATGATGCTGTTAAGCATTTTTATATCAACAATTGATTGCTAGAACTGCTCGACAGTGCCATCGACGTTGGCAAAATGACCGGTGCAGCGCCATGGAAGTACTGCACTCGAGCGAGAGAATATATGTATATTGTGTAAATACATAGTGCGTAATAGGTACTACCTGTTTGAGGTTCACTCTAGAAACTAATGAAACAAACATCACAGTTCAAAGAAGTAAAGTATGAAAAAAAAAATCAAAAACCCACCAATGCTAAAAAAAAATACCCATCAAAAAGGTCCTGGATGACGCATCAATATTTTGACGTGAAGTGGGCGGGGCTGTCATAGGTACCATGCTTAACGATCAAAAGTGACTCACTTTTTTGAAGTACAAGCTCCAAGACACACTTCATTTTGTTTTGTTTTCTTCAATTTTTCGGTCTCCAAAAACTACCAGAGCCATTGTCAAACATGGAGCCGGAGGACTCCATGGCAAATGAAAGCAAAAAAAAAAAAAAACACACACAGAATCAGTAACTCAAAAACGGGAAAAATTGTGAAACAAAACAAAAACATGATAAATCAAAAACCGAAAACTCCAAAGTTGACCCAAAAGTTTGGATCAAGAAAATTGTGTGGAGTGGACGATTGCGCGTTGAATGGTAATATTGGAGTTGTCAACCAGGAAGCTTCTGTGGCACCCATCTACCTGAAATACAAAGCTGTCTGAAAAGTGAGTCAATATTTTTATCCTTAAAGGGACCTCCCACCTAAACATGGGGTTTGAGTTGGGATAGCCAAGTTGAGGACAATCTGGCAAAAAGGCAGAAAAAATTGTCTTGAACTCCCACAGTTCCATAGTTTAGGAGAAAACTCCATCTGATGCTTCAAAAAAAGACCTTAGCTAAGGTCCTATCTTCAACACGGAGCGACCGTTAGTGTGACGTCACCTCATTTAGTCATTCTGATTTAGATGGGCTTGTTCGTGGAAAATCAATTAAAACTTGGTCTGAGCTTTGCTGTGGTGCCTACAGATTAAAAAGAATCAGCTTTATGACAGTAATGTGGCCTGGGGAAGGGAGAATTTTAGGCTGTGACTCACATATTTGAAAGTTTGTGTTTGGAATATGGGAAGCCTGAGATGTTTAATGAAAAATAAATGCCAGAACCATGTTCCTGGGCATCCAATCTATAAAGTCGGGCACAATTTAACTGGTTTTAATAACATTTTAGAAGGTGGGAGGGTCCCTTTAACCAAGATGCCTATGACAAGCCCCCCCCCCCCACTTTGCATCAAAATATTGATTTGTCATCCAGGACCTTGGATGCATAAAAAATGACCATTTGCTCCCAGTGCCAGACAGCCAATTGAAAGTTGGCTGTCTGGATTTTGGCTGTGTCTGTGGGTGTTCCTGATTTTGCAATCAGGTACCCGAAGCCCTCAAACTCAAGCTTCTTACAGATATAGATTGTTACTCACTAGCGGATCCAGGGGGCAACGGGCCAAAATCCAGCAGTGGCGGGGCCAAAGTGGGATTTGACCCCTCCCTTTGCAAACCGAACCCAATGCTTTAGGTATATTGCTACATGTATAAGGCCCCTACTTTGGCCCGTTTTGGCCCCTCCCTTAGTCACTAGCTAGATCCGCCAATGTTGTTACTGGATATATTTCTTTGGCTCACCTAAACTCCTCATTAGGTACCCCACCAAATTACTTTAGCTGCTTTAGATGGGAAGGGAGTACGTACACTCGAGGGCAGATTGATGTTCCACAACTCTTTATCCACCAGGTTCCTATGGCTCAGCATTGGCAGCAGCCGCCTGGTACCGGTAGACTGTGCCGCTTCACTTACTTGTCAAGCGGCACAGCCTACCCACCCGTATGACACCGGTCTGGGTCGGTGGCTGGAAGGTGATGTGGGCCGCCTGTGACGTCAGCGCAGCGGTGAGGGCCGAGCCCGGAGGCATGGCTCGGGTCGGCGCGGCGCGGCGGCTGGCGAGGGCTGGGGAGTGAGGTTGGGTGGGAGCACGGACATCGCGCGGCTAAGCGAGTGTAGTTAACTTTCGTGTCTCACTCTCAAGGCGCCAATTATTCTACCTAACAATTGTGCTAAAGCAGTTGTTAAAATGTGCTATCCCCAAGACAGCGCCTATCATCATACTTGTCATGCACATTACGACACACTTAAGCGTGGCAATGGGACAGCCGATAGAACTTATGTCACTCGTGCATCGAGGTGCGGAGCTATATTTTGTATAACATATTAGTATTAAGGCCTTGATTGAGCAGATTGGTGTCTATTGTTTCGCACGGTAATCGTCCAGAGACGTGGGAACTGGGGGTTATGAGCAGTGCTGCAGCCAACGCCCAATTTAAAGCGATTATTACTGTTGCTCTAATACCTAATATAATAATAATAATAATAATGTATGTGGTCGCAGCCCCCAATAGCAAACCGTTCCAACTAGGAGCCAAAAAGTCGGCCACTCAGAAGGGTTCGAACCGGGCTTCTCCCACCGGCCAATTCACGACTCGAGCGTTCATCCACTGAGCTACGGAGAATGGTTCTCATCTGCACAAAACAAAATGACTTTCACCCGCTGACCGCCAATGACAGCATTGTGACATTTGATCGCGTTTGACCGCGGCGGGTGGTCGCTGGTTTCGGCAGCTCAGTGGATACACGCTAGCGTCGTAGGGTGACCGGTTGGAGAAACCCGGTTCGAACCGTCCCAGGTGCGCGACTTTTTCGTTCCTAGATGGAACGGTTTGCTATTGGTGGCTGCGACCACACATTAGAGGAATAGTAAAAGTTGCTTAAAGGGACCCTCCCACCTTCAAAAAAGTTAATGAATTGGCATGAAAGTGATGTCGCTCGGTTCAGAAAGAGCAAAAAACGAATATCTACCAAATTTCATCGAAAAATATTCACCGGTTTTCAAGATATTTGACTTTTACTTTTGTTTACTTTTTGGGATCTCCGCTGTTCCTAGCGACTTTATTTGAAAGTGCGGCATTTGTTGCGCGCAAAGCAGGATATACCACCGCGTGCTACAAAACGTTTTAGTCAAACATTTAACGGACGTTCGAAAGCCTGATGACGTCATCAGATTCCCGTAATGGTTAAGAGATAGGGACCACGCTGGTCCCACCCTGCAAGTAAAGGGAAGAAATTTCTTGAACACCATAAAGCTGCGGGGGTTGCGACCAGGATAAATGGTGGTTTCTGAGCCTGGCCGCAAACTTGGCTATCTCAACTCAAAACTAATGTTAAGGTGGGAGGGTCCCTTTAAAGTTGGGACGCCGCGCTATCCAAAAACCCCAGTTCCCACCTCTCTGGACGATTGCTTTGCGAAATAATAGACACCAATGAGCTCAATCAAGGCCTTAATACTTATCTGTTAAAAACAATGTAGCTCCGCAACTCGATGCACGTGTGATATAAATTCTATCGGCTGTCCCAATGCCACGTTTAAGTGTGTCGTAATGTGCATGACAAGTATGATGATAGGCGCTGTCTTGGGGATAGGACATTTTAACAACTGCTTTAGCACAATTGTTAGGTAGAATAATTGGCCCCTTGAGACGCGAAAGTTACCTAACTACACTCGCTCAGCCGCGTGATGGTCCGTGCTCCCACCCCACCTCACTCCCCAGCCCTCCCCAGCCGCCGCGCCGCGCCGACCCGAGCCATGCCTCCGGGCTCGGCCCTCACCGCTGCGCTGACGTCACAGGCGGCCCACATCGCCTTCCAGCCACCGACCCAGACCGGTGGCATACGGTGTGGGTAGGCTGTGCCGCTTGACAAGTAAGTGAAGCGGCACAGTCTACCGGTACCAGGCGGCTGCTGCCAATGCTGAGCCATAGGAACCCGGTGGATAAAGAGTTGTGGAACATCAATCTGCCCCCGAGTGTACCTAATTTAGATTAACTTAGTAGGATTTTAGGTAAACAATGAGTAATAACTAATAAACCTGCTCTAGGTCAGGACACCTGCTCTACGACCTGCTGGTTCAGGAACTTGCTTTCAGCTGTGGGGGCAAAATTCGGTCTGCTAGTGCGCCAGTGATGAGAAAAGGTGTCCTACCTGCCCAAAAGGCTCCTTCATTAGACGGAAATGTGCTTTACTGAACGTAGGGACGCTGGCTCGCATCGCAAGGTGCAATGCCATGCCATTTTTGTCTCGAAATGCATCTTTTTACCGTGAAGTTATGGGGGCAATGCCCCACGGCTCTGCGGTTGGGGGGGGGGCACGTGCCCCCCTGTGGCTCCTACGCCCCTGTGCTGGTTGCTGAGATCCTGACAAGGCACGACTCGACAAGAACGAGAGGGCACAAGTGGAAGTTCAAGAAACGCAGGGTGCGGACACTCGTTCAGTGGAACATGCTGAGTGTGTGAGTAGTCAACAACTGGATCACACTCCCAGACTGAAACCATGTGTGTGCCGAAACCCTCAACCAGTTCAAGGCCCGACTAGACCGCCACTGGAAGACGGTCATGTACAACACTCCCTATCCCTTAGAGCCACACTAGTCCAAGCAGCTAAGAGCTCGGTGAGAATAGGTCCACCAGGCCAAGTGGCCTTTGTTATCCCGATAACCATCCTGAATGCAGAAAATTATACATTCAAACAAGAAATGCACCCCCAACAATTCTCCGCCCTTGAAGGTAGGTATGAACATTCTGCACGTCTCACCTCAAATAATCCAAATCCATGTACTGATAAATTGAAATCTAAAATCCAATCCATACGTAGGCACATGAATTGGATTCAGTCAATTATAACCATTAAAATGGCTATTTAACTATTTCCTTCTGTGCTTTATCGTCCCTCATTGTCATTCACAACCATGAGGCATCACATTATCAATGGTGCACACAAAGCATTTGTGATGCGGAACTCTAGGATAGGCACATTAAACCATGCATTATGCAAATATTGTAATTATAAAATAGCAAGGAAAAGAACGGAGTAACATAGGAAATAAAATGGATAATTCACCAGTTATCATTATGACAGCGCCACATATGCCGACAGAAGCAGACAGCAGGACGTCTTGCTGCGTTTCTACTAGTGGTGTCAATCGGTTACCAAAATTTCGGTATACCGATACCGAACCAATACCGATTCGGTATTCGGTATTATATACCAAAAGCATTTGGTATTTTGTCGGTATCATGAAAATCAACTACTGTCATAAAATATTTGAAAGCATTTTTGATAAACCTTCTGAACTCAAATTTGATTTTGCTAAATGACACTGGATGAAGAAAAATGGCAATCATGACACATTTCTCCCAAATGCATGATATCCTAACAAATGGGCAAACACATCAACTGACAACTGTAATATCAAATACATCAGTCTACCAATGTTAAATGGCAACTTATCAGTGTTAGCAAATTCCAATACCATGAGGATAATTATCCTACAAAGAAAGCCAATGTGCAAGACATAAACATGAATTAATGTTTAACTCACTGTATGCTGGAAAACATACTTAAACTACCTTTCTCAAAATTTCCAAAGCATTTATTAGCAACAAATTTGACTTTGTTTTGAGGAGTCTGTGATTGATCTTGACCTTGTCTTCCTCTCCATTTTACTGCAATGCAATTACATTATCCAAAACCCTGTTTAATACAGCACTAGCTTCACCATTATCATCTAATATTTAAGGCAGCATTTGTCACTTCATCATCACCCCCATCAGCCCACAAATCTTCAACTTCGCTCAACTTCAAAAAGCCTTGTAGTGAGCGATGCTGTCATGATCCTGTGGATAATTTATTTTCTTTAATTAGTGTTCTCTTTCCTGCTCTCTCAACAGATACAGATCGCTAGCAATTTTATCATAAACACTTATGAAATATAATTGGCTTTTGGCTTGACTCGCACACAGCAGTTTCAAAACTGAACACATCTAAAAACATTTCAATGTCGCAGCTGCGCCAGGTTGAGGAACCGATATAGCTCAATAATTAATTGAAAATAATTGAACAACTATGCTTTTCTGGTACTTCATTTTTCAGCAAAAGTGGCCTACAACTTTCTTGAATTAATTTTAAGATGTCAAAATCTATACAAGGAATTTTGATTTAAGTGGACTTAAGCAAAAAAGAAAAGAAAAACTTTATTTTATACAGTTTAATCAAATGCAAATGGCCGCCGCCTGTAAGGCCGCCATTATGGAAGAGATGACACGTGACGTGTGTCAATGCTTCCGTAAAATTATGGACATTTTACTTAGATTTCATCGCGATATCATTACAGTGGTGTCTGCTATCTATCAGTGTGCCTCGTAAGTAATTATTTATCAAGTTTTGTTGTGTTACACATTTGTTTATGAAGAAAAATTGGTTGCGTCAGTATCGTCACCAATCACCATGCTACTTGGGTTTAACTGTAGGACTAGGTATCATGGGCTTTGTTTACATTAATGGTGTAGCAAGCCCAAGGTGTAGCCCATCATTGTCAATTGGGTTACCACTTTTGGATCATGATAACACACTAAACCCTGTCTTGACCGGACTCGAAATGAATGACGTGAATTGAAAGAAGGTTTGATGGTTCAGGCACGGACAAGATTCAGGGTTCAAGTTATTTTCCTAACACCTCATGCAGTTGACTTGAATCCACATTCCAGTAAAATAACTGACCTGAATATTTGTTAATAGTTACAAAATAAGTTATAAATGTTTTTTTTTTGCAATGCAAATAATTAACAGATTGCCTGATTTGTTTTTGTTACCTTGTTTCAAAGTATTAGGTACCTTTCAAGGCTTATCATATGTCTTGAGAAAGTTTGAAGCATTTGTTTGATAATTCCCTGATTTCGGTATCTAGTCGGTATTTCCCCCTATTTCTGAAAATCGGTTCGGTTTTGGTATAATCTCAGTGGTTTTGGTCGGTATCGGTTTGGTATTGGTTTCCAAAATTTCTGAAATTGACATCACTAGTTTCTACCTTCCTCCACATCCTTATTCGCCTTCCGTAACTGCAAATGGCCAAATGCTTATTGTAAAGATGTATGCCTATCACCTTACCTCAGCCCTCTTCGAATCCATGCAGCCCAGAACCGGCAATACCACGCGTCCGCCGCAACACACAAAATGCAGCAAAGATGGCGACAAGGCCAAATGTTTGTAATTTCTTACACCCGAGTAAAGTGACAAACAACCCGCCGCCGGCGGACGCGCGGGAAAATGATACGCGTTTCGCGAGCTGCATGATCAGCCCAAGGCGGTCGCGCGGGAAAAAATAACACGCATTCCAAGGTCCTACCCTTTTATTGATGCCTGCCCTGATGATCAATTTGTGGGGGACTCGAAACCGGTGTTGATCATCTATAACGAGGTTCATGATGACACCCGGAGCACGTATTTTTCGTGGACCACAGTGTTAACCCGCGCCCGGCTGGGGGTCCTGGATTTCCACGCCCTGCTGGGGGGGGGGGGGTGTTTGAACACCCCCCCTTGTAACTCGGCTCCTGGGCCACGTAGCGATACGCGGAAGGCGGCGTTCGAAAGAGCGTCAAAAATAATGACGAAATCACTTCGGTCAATTTTTTGGTCAGGTCAAAGGTCAGGTCACCAGAGGTCATTGAAGGCAAAATTTCCCCGATTTCCAGGTCGAATGGCGAAACTTTCCAAGAAACCAACGCATAACTCGGGAACCAATAGAGCTACAGCGCCGCGGAAAAGCGCATTCGATAGCCCTATTAACGCCCTTTCTGAGTAATCCTCTCAGATTTGACCTAACGTCAACGGTTTTGCCTGCAGGGGGCAAAAACTGCAAAAATAGCCGATTTTTTCGGAAACAGTTTTTCTGCAATAACTTTTGACCCAAGCCCTGTACGAGCTTACTTTTACCGGCATCGTGTTCCTCTCGTCAAGACGCATCGAATGAACTATAACTTGACCTTGAAAGGTCAACTTGAAAATTTGACCTCAGGTCAAGGTCATGACCTGACCGGAAAGGGTCATGTTGCATATCAGTCGATCCGTATCGTCGAGCTGAACACATCTAAGGCGTTTTCATCGCTCTAGCATGCCTCTATCAAAAGTTATTTGCGAAAAACTGTTAGATACCATTCGTGACCTAAGATGACCTCAGGGCATAAACAAGGGTCACGGACACCATTTTCATGTTCAGTGTGTCTAAACCACTTGTAATTCGGTGCTTGGGAGTGTTTATAATGTCTTTCATCCAAAAGAGGCGCATTTCAATTTTCTCCCATTGACTTATAATGGGGAGGTCGCAAAATTGACCTGACCTTAGGTCATCGATATCAAAATTCTGAGATATACATTTTGTAAATGCTATTGCTCTTAGCAATCGCTGAAAGTTTTAAAGCGATCGGTCACTCGGTGTAGCTATGACAGACATTGAAACTTTTTATGAGGTGAGGTCACTTCAAGTGACCTGGTGACCTGACCTTGAATGACCTTGGTCTGAAATTTTCACAACATGTGTAGGCGCCGCCGTTTTTGAGATATTCGCGAAAAACCACAAGGGGGGGGTGTTCAAACACCCCCCCCCAGCAGGGCGCGGGTTAAGGCAAAGTGTATTATCCCAAACACTTACGTTTACCCATGCATAGTTGATCAGACTTAACAGATGATTCGTGATTCGGGTGTCATTTGATTCTTCACACTTAGGACAGGAGTTATTTTTCGGGAACAGGTGTAAAAATGTTTTCAGTGTATGCCACCAACGTTCTGTCGCCACAAACTACGTCCCTTATAGCTTTGTCTCGTATCTCCCTTACGAACTCAGGTACGTCTCCTGGATCAAACCTGCGCAGCAGGTTTTCCGCCTTGGTGGTGATTAGAGATGCCACTTTTGAACCCGCGAACCCGCTTTCTGCGGGTTTTCAAAACCCGCAGGGTTTTTGGCGGGTTCGAGAAGCAAAACTTGTCGTGTGGCGGGTATTTGGCGGTCAGACTTAAGAACCTATTTTTTTTTTTTTTTTAGATGCAAAACACAATGCCAAGTGCATTTGCTCAGGTTAGCAATACAATATTCATCAAAACAACTTTTAAAACAGAACCAAATATAGAAATATATCAAGGAAGCACATTTCAAATGCAAAACTGAAAACAACCAGCAATAGCATCCACAGTCTAGCAATGACCAAACCAAGGTATAAGCAACAAACTACAAAGCATAAATAATTGCTGATGAAAGCATTCCATAAAACATAAAAGAACCTGAAAGCAAGCTTATAGGAAGCTGAACTGAAGTCTATGTGCAGTGTGCACTAGATATACATTATGGAAGAACCCAGAATCAGAGCCAATGCCACATGCTACTTTATTTGCGTCTGGTCAGCATAAAAAAGAGCTATCAACTAAACAAAATTTGATGCAAATTCATTGATTACCTATCCTATGTTCTGTTCCACCCTATATTACGAAAATAACACACCAATTACCCTTACAAAAAATCAAAATATTGACTGGGCGGCCCAAATATAACGCAATACAATACTGGCGCACTTCCGACATTCTGACAAGGATTGGCATTTGACTGCGTCAATTTTGGTCTCTGAGGCAAAGGAAAGCTGTCATTGATGACGCAATAATTTTACAATCAATTTTTCTGTCTTGGTTTTTGAATACCTCAAAATAGCAGTTATACATGTTACATACAAAACCACGTAGCTGGTCGCATTTATTTCTTTTGTCTTTTTACGTGCTTATCATTTGTATGACGAGAGAGCCGGAGAGCATTACCAAGACCATGTATGAAATTATTACATTTAATTTAGTATTTACTGTCTCTTTATTTCTTAACCGGTTATTAACCTCTATATGGTAAAACTTTAGCTGTTGTGTAAAATAACTTTATCAGAATGGCACATGAATATGCATTATACATCGGTGTTTTCGCAACAAGTTCGCACTAACTACGGCCGCAATAATTTAGTCGCTGTAACATTCTTTGCAATCAGCTGTTGGTGACGCTTCTGACGCATGTTTCCAGAAACGCGTGGTTCATTGGTGGTTAGTTGGTTTTTGCTGGGATTTTGCATGATTTGTTTTATGTGTAGATCGACTGGATACTTATTATTCACCGTGTCACTATTTATTTTTAACTGGAAATCGCATATCTTTTATATCAACATTCATTTTGATAACAATATCATTCCAGAAGCCTAACATTGAGAGGGAGCCAGAGTAAAATTTTGATCCTCAGCCAATGCTGAAGGGTAAGGTGAGAGAAAGATTTTACTGAACTCTTTTCAGTTTTCAGAAAGGAATTTCAAATGTATTGATGCATTATTCGTTTTCCACTATCCAGTGTGCACTTCCTGAGGACTTAGCATAGCAATTTCAAGTCCTTACTATTTGTTTGGCTGTCTTTTTCTGCACAGCAATGAAGCAAGTAAGGTTTATATAGCTCTAGCATTGACCCAGCTGTATTTTTTTCTTGCAAAAGCAGGTTTTCAAAATTGCGGGTTTTTTGCGGGTTCGGCTCAGCCAAAATCAGCTTGCGGGTAGTTGTGGTTGGGCAAGGGGTATCTGCGGGGCGGGGCGGGTAATGAAATTGCAAATTTGTGGCATCTCTAGTGGTGATCATTGCGTTGTCCAGACTGTCCATGTTGTCTGCAGGACAAACTGGATGATGCTGCTGCAGGTCCTCACGCAACATAAACTCCAGACATCCAGGACATGGCAGGAACTTGGTGACTGGTATGTCGGGCTTCTTGGGTCTCCTCTTCAACATAAGTTCCCCTTTCCCAGCTTCCAGTACTTCCAAGTTGTGCTCAAAGTTACCCCGGCTGATAAGAAGGGAAAACTTTCTGTCCTGTTGATCAGCTGTCCCCGTCATGGCATGCGCCACTTGCTGTTTGTCTGAATGTTTTGTTTTCAAATGGCGGCGCATTTTCTGTTTGATTTTCTTTTTACAAAACAGGCATGAGTTTACTGTATCGTACGTTTTAGCAGTAGGCGACACTCTATAAAAGACACCATGACTGGGGGATCCTTCCAGGTGAGGTTCATCCTCGCGAGATGTACTCGCTGTCGGTACATTCACTGCAGGTTGGGTCGTCAAAGTATCTGGAGCGGGTGCGGGTGCGGCAGGTGCGGCAGAAGCGTCTGCAGCGGGTGCGGGTGGCAAGAGGGCGTCCGCAGATGCTCCCGCGACAGGTGAGTAGGTGGCGTGTGACTGCAGTGATGGGTTCGAATCTGCGTGATCGGGTGAATTGGGAAGAATCTCACCTCTCACTTCAGGAAATATTTCACACACTTCGTCGAGGGACCACGTCCGGTCAAGCATGTCAGCAGACTCGTTGCTGGGAGGCATCCAGTCAGGATCAGAGTCTGTGTCTGACACCACGTCATCCAGTCTGTCATCATTGGAAGCATTTCGTACACGTATCGTGGGGAGAACTTGCGCAACCTTGTTAAATGACGACATGTTTTCACGCGTGGCCACCATCCGATTTCTGTGCCGCTGTAGCGGAGGCGTTCGCATTTCAATCAAAGGTGCGTCCTCTGCAGGTGCATTTGCAGCGGGCGAGTGTGCTGCAGGTCTGTCTGCAGCGGGTGCGTCTGCAGCTGATGCTACCGCCACCGTTTTGTCCAGGTCCAGTTGTAGGTGAGCGCCAGCAGAGTCCGGTACAGGAATGCCGAGGTTTTCTGGAAGACGCAAAACATTAACAATAAAAACAAAGGCCAATTTTAGTGTTACTGCACAAAGCCTTAAAAAAATGTATAATGAGTGGCATCCGAACCAGCCTTTCACCGTGGGGATACATATAAGCAAATTCTGGTTTCGAAGTTATGACCCTGTAATATGACAGACTTCCTCTTCTTTAGGATCTGACCAAAGCAGTTAACGTTCGCAGGACGCTTTTCTGCATTAAATCGTTCTACATTATATTGACATCATTCTTTCTGCATCATACTTGCATTGGTACAGTTACACCAGTCAGTCAGCAAGGTCGCCCACCAAAACGTAATAGACAGCTCCGGGACAGGTACCACTACCAGGCCTAAACTGCTGCGTTTCATAACTACTAAAATAGTTTACAAAGAGCCATCTATACCGTTCAGACTTAACCCGCGCGGGGCTGGGGGGTAAATTTTACCCCCCTCGCGAATTTTTGCAATATCTCAAAAACGGCGGCGCCATCAATTTGACACGTTCCCTGAAAATTTGAGCGAAATCCGTCGGAAAATTTTTGAGAAATTGACGTTTTAGTGACGTCATGTTCGCCATTTTTGCCTCAAAAACGGCAAAAGTTCAAACGCCGCTAACATCTTCATTTTTAAAGGAATCAAGACGTAACAAAAAAGGATATACGTAATTCTACTTTGTCTATCAAATGGCTATCACGGTTTTTTGAAAATTTTGGATTTTGACCCAATTTTTTTCTAAAAAAAACTGACTTTTTTGGGAAAATACCTATAAAATTCAAAATTTTGAGTGTATCGGAAAAACCAGAATATATATCAGAGAAGTGGTCTATGTGCACCAACATACCAAGTTTTAGAAGAATCGGTTAAAAAATGTGGGAGTTATTCAAAATTGTATGACGTCACGACACACAAAAATTTTGAAAAAAAAGACTTTTTTGGAAGTTCTAGACCTCCTACCGAAACAAAAATAGCACCATTCGATTCGCCGTGAAAAACTGCATCAGATAGACACCTTTTTAGACCTTAACAACCAACTTCAAAATTTGACCTCACTTTACCTGACCTTGACCTGACCTCGACCTGAAATTCATCCAGCGGTGGTCCATATCACTTATTGAGTGTGCCTATTGAATTCTATGAGTAAAATGACCCATAAAACATGCGTCGCACATGCCCTTTTCTATATTTTGTTTTTGGTGACCTGACCTGACCTGACCTGACCTTGACCTTGACCTCTGAATGATATTGCATGCAACGAATATTGTCTTGGTAGCCTAAGAACACGTTTTGGGCGATCAGTCTCAGTCCATGACTCCATTCTTCGGCAACTACGGTGCAAGGCCGATACTGTAGGAACTTGCAATTTGTACCCTTGACCTGACCTTGACCTTGACCTCAAACTTAAAATTAAGTACATGTTTTTAGTTGTTCGTGATGAGATCTTTCGATTGGCGTTTGAATTTTCCAAATCGGTCCATTAGTTCGGGAGATAACAGGGGGGGTAAAATTTACCCCCCCCAGCCCCGCGCGTTCGGCTGGAGACCCCAGCCCCGCGCGGGTTAACCCGCGCCCGTAGGTCTATCGGCGGAACTTACCCACCCCCCCCTTAGATCTCGGAAAGTTACCGGCCGATTTTCAAAATTCAAACGGCTTTGGATAGCCCTAACAGGGAACTACCTTGTGACCTAATTTCATTGACCTCGGCCTAACCGATGACGTCACAGGTCAGGTCAAAGTTCGAATTTTCACCGTTTACAGGCATTTCAAGAAATGTGTTGTAAAATCGAGTAAAAAGGAGCACCATTGAAAATCATCGATTGGGCATTGTCCGTCAAACACATCTTTTGCTATTTGAGGTCACTGATACCAGGTCAGATCATAGAGGTCAGGTCACTGAGCATAGGCGGCGGAACGGGGAGGGCACCGGGGCACCGTGCCCCCCTTTGATTTTGGCATTTTAACATTAGCCCTATGGGCGTTGCATGGAAAGAATGGGACCAAAAGTCGGCAGTGCCCTCCCTTAATTGAAGGTGTTCAATTTCTTTACGATAACGCTGGTACACTGAAAACTTTTTTACACCTTTCCTGGGTGTAAGCACCCGAGGAGGGTGTAACTGATATTCTGCGTTTTTTTACCCTCGTCCGAGGTGTAATATTTACACTCAAATAAAGTGTAACAAGACACTCGCCCGGGGCGTTGACTGCACGTTTACACTCTCCACACTGAAAACTTTTTTACACCCGTCTCGAGTGTAAACCCGCGGAACGGGTGTCGTTGATCTTGTACCATATTTAAGCATCTGAACGGGTGTTAACTAACCTGTCATCAAGGCATCATGGAACACCTGTATTGAGTATCAACACCCGATGTCTACACCCGTATCCAATATAAACACCCGATGCCTACACCAGTATCAAACATCACACCCGATGTCTACACCCGTATCAAATATCAACACCCACCGTTTTACACCCGCATCGAGTGTCAACACCCATTGTTCATGCCCGCACCGAGTGTCAACACCCGCTGTCTACACCCGTATCAAATATCAACACCCACTGTTTATACCCGAATCGAGTGTCAACACCCACTGCTTATACCCACATCGAGTGTCAACGCCCCTGTCTACACCCGTATCAAATATCAACGCCTCGTGTTTATGCCCGCATTGAGTGTCAACACCCGCTGTCTACACCAGTATCATATATTAACACCCCTGTTTACACCAATATCGAGTTTCAACACCCGCTTTTTACACCCGCATGGAGTTTCAACACCCACTGTTTACACCTGCGTTGTGGGTGGACACCTGAGAAGAACCCTCTTACGGGGTGTTGCACTTCAGACCTGACACTTCTCCCACGGGTACTTTCAACACCCGCGTCACGCCACCCCGAGTGCTGAGTGTAGCTGCACACCATTATTTTTTGCCACATGACATTTATTTTGACGTAACCACGACACGATACGACGTAACCACGACACTCGACACATCTGCACGTCATGTGCGCGTCACGCGGACGTAACTTACAAATCTAAGTGTTTGAGTATGCGCTGAAGCCCCTTAGGGGGCTTCAGCATGTCCGTCTTTAGCAGCATCACAGTGGCCACATAGGCTAAGCATTGCGTTGCCTTGCGTGTGGGTTTCTGTGCGAACACAGTAAACCCCGCCCCCCATTCATAGGTGTAACACTTTGTCATAACCTCTTATTCGGGTGTCGAAAACACCTTAACCTGGTGTTGACACCGAGAGTAAGATCCCATTCGCAGGGGCGCTAAGCCGAACGGCCGGCGCTGCGTACGCCCGCCCCGCCCGCCCGCCGCCGCCCGGGCCAGTCACTGGCGGCCCTGGTAACGACACGGCGCGGAAGTGGCCTTTCACTGCCGGTACGGTATACCTCTCTTGAAGTTTTTTTGGGGCTTTCACCGAGTCCACTTTCAGAACGTGTACATTGACCAAGTAGGCAGCTGCTTGCGTCGCGCGGAAACTGAGGCGCTGTGCGAACACAGTGAATACCGCCCCTGTCGCGGCCGCGCGCCGGCCTGTGTTCGACGGGACACCGCTCCGCGCGGCGCCCGACTCTCCTCTGGCGGAGCGGACTGTAAACACTCCTTTCTGGGGCTAATCAGACCGGCGCGTCCACGGCATTTGGGTGAAATAAAACTCGTGCACACCCTATTCAACACAAGTAGGCGAAGGGCTTTAGGCAGATCGATCGGATATGAAGGATGGCCACAATTCAGCAGCCAGGAGCCACGGCAATTCAGCGTGACACAGGTCAGAGATAGAAGTCACAATTCAAGCGACAAGGAGGCCCACAATTCAGCAGACCAGGAAGGGTAAAATGGGAAGGTTAAGGGAGTAGAGATAGAAGTCACAATTCAAGCGACAAGGAGGCCCACAATTCAGCAGACCAGGAAGGGTAAAATGGGAAGGTTAAGGGAGTAGAGATAGAAGTCACAATTCAAGCGACAAGGAGGCCCACAATTCAGCAGACCAGGAAAGGTAGAGGAGTGAAGGTAAGGTAACTTGTGTAGAATGAAGAGTTGCGCACGCGCCGCACACGCCCGATTCTAACTCCGCCCGCTCACTGTTGCTCACTGTGTCTCGTTGCTTCCACACTTCCCGACACAGCACTGAAGAGGTATTTCTATATTGCGGTGTCCAACGAACGGTACGACGGCTACGACAGGACAGAGGCACGTCCGCACGCTGCGGAGGCCAGAACAGAACAGGGGGCAGAAACATGTTTACATCAGCTTAAATATGACGAAAAATCGGGTCACGACGAATAGCGCAGATGGGGAGGCTGAATAGATCCGGAAACGAAGGGAGAAGAAAAACACGTCTAGCGACGCGCAGCGGTCCCAAAATAGCCGCACCTGGCCGGTCCGCGCGCCTACCTGGGACGGGGACGCCGGCGTGGACAATACACATTCCAGACGCCGCCGTCAAAAACAGGGGGGCCGGTCTCGGCCCTCCCAGGCTGCGCGGCGGCGGAAGGGTCAGGCGGCCCGGTCAGGCCGGGCCCGGGCGGCCGGCGCCCTCGCGGCCGGCCGGTCCCGGCGGTCTACCTGGCCGGCGACGAGCCACAGCCGGTGCATATACATTCATACGTACATGCGGCGGTCACAGCCCCCCAGGTCAGATATTGGTCCGCCTTTGACATGAACCTCTCAAACTGGGCCACCTTTACGCCCTCCACCCATAGCTCCTCTTCGTGGATGGTCGGTGGGCCAGCCTGGCCTCCTGGCGGCCCGAACGCGACGTGTTCCTCCCTCATCTCCATCAGCACATGTGCCAGCTTTTCATCTGCAATAGATGACCAAAGTCTAAGCAAAACAAAACACACAGGGAGACAGCGGGAGAGAGAGTGGGACAGAGGGAGCGGGAGAGAGGGAGAGAGAGAGCGGGAGAGAGAGATAGAGAGAAAGAGCGGAAGAGAGAGATAGAGAGAGAGAGAGCGGGAGAGAGCGGAAGAGAGAGCAGAAGAGAGAGCAGAAGAGAGAGAGAGAGAGAGAGAGAGAGAGAGAGAGAGAGAGAGAGAGAGAGAGAGAGAGAGAGAGAGAGAGAGAGAGAGAGAGAGAGAGAGAGAGAGAGAGAGAGAGAGAGAGAGAGAGAGAGAGAGAGAGAGAGAGACAGAGACAGACAGAGACAGAGACAGAGACAGAGACAGAGACAGAGACAGAGACAGAGACAGAGACAGAGACAGAGACAGAGACAGAGACAGAGACAGAGACAGAGACAGAGACAGAGACAGAGACAGAGACAGATAAACTTTTTGCCAAAAACTTTTTGACCTGTTTTTGGCGAAATTTTTACATTCATACACCCCCAAAAAACCCTAAATATTGGCCTAGAGCAACCATATTTGCACAGGGGCGAGAAATCCAGGGGGATCACCTACCTACCAAATTTGGTGTTTCTTGGTGCCATAGGAGCCAATCGCGTGGGGGGGGGGTCGCATCGACCCCCCCCCCCCTCCCCTGCCAGGCCGTGTTATGGAAAATGCCCTGCCAGGGTGAGGGTTAAGGTGCGACTTGCGAGTGCATGTTTCAGTGATTTACTGCATGGGCATTTTACACGAAGATCAACAGTTTCATTTTCAATTGTGGGTAACAAAGATGATTATCCTTAAAATAAGCTGAGAAGACAGTGCCTAAGCTTCACTGAGTGTAAGCGTTGATTTTACACTATTTTTATCTCAAACCACCCCTGGACAAATATGATAAACGAAATATAAAAAATAGTAGATGTTTCAACACATATCTTTTAAACATTGAACCGTAGTGGATGCTGATCCAAGGTGATAAAATTGCATAGCTTAAGAACTAAGCATTATAGTTTGCTGACATCATACCTCCTCCTCTGTGAACAGTAGAGGGTACTTGGTTTTAAGGCCCTCCAACGTCTTCCTCCTTGCACCTTTTCCCAGAAGCAGCGCACGTCGATCTGGTAGTGTCACCTGCATCGCTGCCGATACCTGGCAAGACACAAACATTGAATTAATGGCATTTCGAAAATATAACATTCATCACACCCTATAACGAAACTCGACATTGACACCGGGGGTCCTGGGGGGGGGGGGAGCATAAGCATGCTTGAGCATGGGTATAAGCATGCTTGAATTAATCCATATTCAAGAGTACAAACATTGCACCATACTTAGTATCGAGGCTTCAGCATACCTGACAGCGATTCCAGAATTCCGACTTAAAACAATATAACATCAATTCAGCACAGCAATTAACGAAGTAATCAGACACTAACTGAATAAAAAAAATCATACCTGTGATGATCCCGCGGCAGGGTCCATCTTTATCTCACACCAGTCACCACCTACACACAGCCCCGCATCACTCGACTCAACAAAACTGAAGCGCGAATCAACACGCCGCCGTTCATTTGAATTTACGCATGTGCACGCGCAGTTGCTGGCCGGCGGTTGCGCGGGAAAGCTCGCGGGCTGACCTTGAATCCAAGGCCATATCCGATCCATGGTAACGGTGCTAGTAACACCGTTTAGAGATCAATGAACTGGGAGCTACACCATTGTGTGGCGTATGCGATACAACGTCTCTGTCACGGGGTGTTGACACCAAATGGAGGTGTTATCTATCCGTAGCGTCGGTTGGTCTGAGGTGGCTTTGGTGTTAATTGTCGGTGTTCATTTTGAACACCGAGTAATTGCAACATTCTTCGGCGTTACACCCCACAGTTACACAGTTGAGTTGTGTTACACCCTACCAAAACGCCTCTCATTGGTGCTTATTTTCGTGTCACCGGTACGCGAGTGTTAATTTATTTTATCCGTCGAGCTCGCGCTTGCAACAAAACCAGATGCAGTGTGACAATGGGACTGTATTCACGTCCATCTGGTTTTTTGGTGAGGTGACCACATGGCACACAGGAATACAATCCGGTAGGCGACGCATAATAAACACTCAATACCTAACACCTTAATTAACGGCAGGGCGCATGGGGCCGGTGGTGGGAGAAACCACTCGTGTCCGCTGCGGTTGAGCTCTGAAGCGACAATGGCGGCTAGGCGATGCGCTCGTACGGCGCATGCGCCAACTACGCCTGTCTCCGGTACGGTAGTATTTTACTTTACGGTACGGCTAATATATATCGCACTGTACTACGTTGCCGCACGGCTGACCGATAAATGCTTTCCAGGTGCCAGGGCCCCCGAAAGACCATTTATCCGTCGAGCTCGCGCTTGCAACAAAACCAGATGCAGTGTGACAATGGGACTGTATTCACGTCCATCTGGTTTTTTGGTGAGGTGACCACGCCCATACCCCCACCGAACCGCGAGAAGACGTACGGGAGACTTGACTTTATGTTGATGACGCTGCGCGAATTGTGTGATGTGTATTAAAAGGCGCCACACACATTGACAACGCAGGAAAATGCTGAGATACAATGGCACGGAATACGGTGCGACCACGCTCCCGCGGCCGGAGAACAAGAACTATCCGCCGTGTCGGGAACGCGGTTTACATCACGCATGTGGCGCGACCACGCCCCCCGCAGCCGGGTGGCGAACTCAGCGCACCCGCTGTGTCGGGGAAGCGCGGGCAAACGCGCGACTCTTGGATAACATATGAACACAGTGACGGCCGCGCAACTATTGCGCGACCACGCCCCTTGTCGTTCCTCCGCGGCCGGATGACTGAGGCCACCCGCCGTGTCGGAGGACGCTCAAGGAAACAGGTCGATGTGAATAAACATAACACAGGAACCAGCGGCAGTAGAACATAAGCACGCAAATGTGGCGACTACGCCACCCGCGGCCGGGGGACGCAAGCCACCCGCCGTGTCGGGGGACGAGGCCAACAACGAAACACAAAACAAAAACGGAACGCGGCGCTTGGCTAACGATAAACCGCCACACGAAACTACTGGGACCCGGCGGTGAGCACTGGATGGGTGACGCCAGCTCGCGCGATACGCTGTGCGCGGCTGAGCTTGTGCGGCTGACATACCCGTCTCCGCGGCCGGGCCCGTTCCGGACGCCGCCGTGTCGGAAGGACGGAAAGTCTGTGCGAAGCGGAACTGGCACGACCTCAGTGGGGATGCTGACGAGCGGGGGGAGCGGCCAGCTGCGATAGTGAGACGGGGAGCCGCAGATACCGCCGAACGGCCGATGACGCCCATCGGCCGGCCTCCTTGAGCTGCAACTCGGTCATGCCGAGCTGAGCCCCGTATGAAGCGCCGCCTATGCGGAAGCAATGCCCGGCAAGTCGCCGAGCATCTAGCCCCGCCAGGCCTGTCTCACGACTTGCGTGAGCTGTCGGGTAGTAATGGGACGGCCGCTGCCCGAGAGGAACAGGAAATCTCTGTGGCGGCTGACCGGGCGCACGCTCAGAAATTCCTGCACCGCACGCACAGGGCAACAGGCCAGATCAGGGCGAGCCACAAGCTCGGTAGTGAACGGCACCGGCGACGTTTTGGATGAGGGAATGGTGAGCGACAAGCCGTCCCGGTGCACACCTACGTGGTGCACACGGACGGTGTGGGCGGGGTTGGCACCCAACACGACTTCTCCGGGCCGCAGCATGCCGAAAAAAGCCAGGGAGCATATGGCACGAAAGGCGGCTCTGTCGACAGCGGGCAGCGGCAGTCGGCTCACCGCCGCGCACAGGCGGCCGAGCTCGTCGAGGGTGACGGCAGTACGCGTGTCTCGTGATGGACGCAACCGCCGAGCCCCGGCGAGCAATTTGCGCACCCGAAAATCGGCGGTGGGATCAGCCAAGCCACGGATGCGGTGGCCGTAAGCGATCGCCGAACAATGGCTGGCTAATGCTGAGGCCCCACTGCCAGCCCGGAAACAGGCCCCGATGAAGTCGATCACCGTCGCAGTGGGGATTGGGAAGAGGGGAATGGCCGGGCCGATGCCGATAAAATGGCGGACGCGGTCCCACGTCCCGCGGTAAGCACGCGCTGTTGCCGGTGCCAAGGCCGCTGCCTCCAGTGCAGTCACGTCTGCAGCATAGCGAAGTCGGCCCAGTCCCATGATGTCGGCTCCGCGTCGGCCGACGGCCGCACTTCCCGGAACACCTGCGTGAGACCCCGGGGGAGAGCGTCAGGAGCGACGTTCCGAATACCGGGGACATGGTTAGCACGCACTAGAATATTGTAGCGCATGGTGATGAGAAAGAGGTGGCGTAGCCAGCGCATTGCGGCAGGGGACCGCGATGACTGCGAGTTAATGGCCGCGACGACGCCGCTGTTGTCCGATCGGACTATGACGCAGCGGCGGGTCAAGGCTGATGCCCACACGTGCATAGCAACGACGACGGCGACGAGCTCTAGCACTCCGATATCGGCGCCTTGAAGCCATTCGGGCCACGTCCCGAGCAGCCAGCGTGAGCCGCAGATGGCCCCGAGACCCACCCCGGCAGAGGCGTCGGTCTCCAGACACACCGCGGCCGCCTGCGTCCAGCGCCGCTCATCGAGCAGCGAACGCCCGTTGAAGTGCTGCAGGAATAGAAGCCAGGCTGACATGTCGAGGCGCGACGCCCTGGTGAGGGAGACGCGGTGGTGCGGCCGACGGACACCGGCGCAGAGATCGGAGAGACGACGGAGGAACGGCCGGCCGAGCGGCACTGCGAGGCACGCAAAGTTCAACAGCCCAATGCAGGTCTGAACTTGCCGTAGGGGTGCTTTCCGCCGCCGGCTGAGGTCGGCCACGGCATCCCTTGCTCGCTCCACTTTATCGGTGGGCAGGCGCAAAACCCGTTCTGCGACGTCCAGCTCCACCCCTAAAAATGTGAGCCGCTGGCAGGGCAGCACCGTCTTGTCGGGATGGAGGGGGACGTTGAGGAGGTGGCACATGGCCGTGAAGCCCCGCAGGGACGACGCACATGCCGACTGCGACGCGCCGATAAAAAGAAAATCGTCCAGCACGGCGACGATGTGGCCGGCGCCGAAGTGGCGCTGCGCTATCCATACCAGCGCGTCGTTGAAAGTCTGAAAAATCTGAGCACTGCTTGCACACCCCATGGGCAGCGCACGGTCGGCGTAGATCAGCCCGCGCCAGCGGAAGCCGAGTAGCGCAGAATCACGTTCGGTCGTGGGCAGGAGGCGGAAGGCTTGCACGATGTCAGATTTAGCCAAAAATGCGTGGTCAAAATGGGAGATGTACTCCACCGCCTCGTCCAAGGAGCCGTATTGCACGGCCGTGAGCTCGCGTGGTATGTAGTCATTGATAGACTCACCGGCCGGGAAAGATAGGTGATGGATCACGCGGAAGGAGCCCGGCGACTTTTTTGGCACCAGACCGATGGGTGAGATACGCTTAACCGGGGAGGGCCCGTCAGCGGCAAACGGACCGGCGAGGCGGCCGGCCTTCAGCTCCGAAGATACGTAATCGTCAATAATTTGAGGTGCGAGATCACAGGAAGGAAGGTTGTGTGTTGACCCCCCTGTTCCGGTTATGGCAGAGCCAGTGGAAAATTCAGAGCGAAACCCCGACACTAGATAGTGGCGCAACTCTTCATTGTAGCCGGACAGAAGCTGGTGGAGCGTGTCGGCCGGCACCATCGGCGAAAAGGCGACGGCAGATGTGCAAGATGGTTTAGCGGGAGCCGGCTGCACCGGCGGCGGCGCTGCCGGGGCCGGCGCGTCTGTGCACCGGCCGGGCAGGTCGAGTGGCACACTGATGTGCCGGGTGACTGCCGCGGCATGTACGGCAGGCGTGAGTGAACCGACATACGCGGGCCGAGCAGCCCTGTTGGCCACTGTATGCGAAGCATGGCCGAAATCGAGATCCAGCGGCCGCTTGTCGCTGCGGAACCGGAGCGGCTCTGGCCACGCCGCCAACACCCCTGGCTATGGCCATGAGCCATAAGGGGGACGTAGCGGCGGTGGCACCCCAAGGATGACGAGCGGGGTCTGACTCGCGTGCCCGCCGAAAGGTCTCATCAAAGTCGCGCCATGCGACGCCCAGACCGCTCACGGACAGGGAGCCAACCTGCCGCATGTAAGCGAGAAGGCCCACCGCCGCGTCTGGGTGCGCCTCGGCGTAGATGCCGGCAAACCGCGTAAATGCGATGCTCCACGCACCGAACGAGGTAATTGGGCGTGTAACGCGAGGAGCGGCGCGCAAGGTGCCGTCGACCAGCTGGAAGGAGGGTGGACGCTCGGTAGCGGACCGGTCATAGGAATCGAGTAGTAGAGCTAGATCGACGAATTTGTCCGCCTGGATCCTGCTCCGCAATGCCGGCGCCACCGCCGAGGTATCTTCACACAGCTCTAGCCCCAGCCCGGCGCTTGTACCTGGCAGATGTGGCGGAGAGCCGGTCGGAGGTGTCGCCGATGGTGGTGGTAGAGGCGGCGGCGGCGGTGCCATTGGCGGCGGCAGCGCCGGCGGCGGCGATGGCGAACGTGTAGTGGTCGGCGGCGTATCCTGCTGTGCTGAGGGTCCGGCGGCGTCGCGGCAGCCCGCGAGCCCGGTAGAGCCACAGGCAGCGGTCGGGCCGACGGTCTGCAGCGCGTCCCGCACGACGTCTGCGACGACGGCCCGCAACTGAGCGGCGTCGAGCACGACCGCCTGCCCGGCGACAGCGGGCCGCTGCGTAGCGGCCGGCTCCGACTGCTGTCTGCCGCGGGGCGGCGCGGCTGCTCGCCGCCGGGGCCCGGCGGGGACTGACGCGCCGGACTGGCGCCGCGTGGATTGGCGGCGGGCGCGCGCAGCGCCGTCCGGCTGGCTCACTGCGCGGCCGCGCACCGGCGCGCGCGCCTTCGGCATGGCTCGGTAATCATGAAACGAGAAACACACGACGGTTAGACGGTCCTGTATTGACATCACAGTGCACACGTGTTATGCCCAACACACTAGTCAGCCTTCAGATGAGGAGGGTAGAGGCGGCGGTCGCATTTATCAGATCGATGAGGCATGCCCAGCCCTCCCCGGAAGGGTGGACCCCATCGGCGCCCACAAAGCCCATCGCCGGTTGGAAGGGGCAGAGGGTCACTGGGAAGTCCTCGCGTTATTTCCCGCAGAGCCGCCGGAGGAGGAGGTTCATCAGCCGCCGCCGACGACGAAACGCCGCCACCGAGACCGGCCCACGCCGGCAGACTGCTCGCGGCGGAATCGGCAGCAGGTGTAACTGACGGGCGCCAGCGGCAAAGATCCCGTGCGCCAGCTCCCGAAAGAGCTGCACGAGCACGCGAGGGCTAAACGGATTGGAGGCGACGTCGTTGCCGCCAGCAACCAGCAGGACCTGCGTGGGACGGAGCTGCCGGACGGTCGCAATTGCCCACCGCCGAAACCCGTCGTCGGCAATACGGGCCCCGCGCCAGCCCGCCGTGCGGACCCGCCCGTGCAGCCCTCTTCGGCGGCCCGCCCAATACGCGAAACTGTCGCCGACTACTATTAGCATGACCTGGAACAACAGGGCGAGGACAGCCAAGTCATAGCGTTGTCACGGCTCGGGTAGTAAACACGTAATGTTGCGACATGCGAAGCATGGCCAGTACAAATATATTCGAAAACATACATATGCCGATCCCCGTTACTTTCCGGGACAAAATGGAATAACTGAGCCCGTCTGTGCGCCGAGCCGGGTCAAGGGAGCGAAATCCGGGAGCGCTAAGGGCGATGCATGCAACGAATCCCGTGGAGCAGAACCTGCCGTGACGTGCCCCAGGCAGAGACTCCGAACACCTCGCCAGACGAAGTAACAGAGCCGGGACGGATAGCGCTAACCCCGTTTGTATGGGCCAGGAAATCACGGAACAAACGCTGGCCCATTGGTAGTGCACGGGGCCTACCGAGCAGGACCAGGGGAGCGACACGGCGAATAGCCGGGTCAAGCTCACGGATCATCCCAATGAAAGTGACCCACAGGTCACACCGGCGGGAGCGGCGGTCATGTGTTCCGCTGTAGGGTCTCATGCAACACCCCGACGGGTTCCACCTGGCGATGGAAACATAGCTGGCAACAGGCCAGCACGTGCCCCTGGCAGGGACTCCGAACACCGCGCCGGACGGTGGACCGGAGCCAGGACAGACAGCGCATCCCAACCTGCGGGTTGGACACCCCGGCTGCCAGTGCAGCCCACCGGCAGACCGCGCACCGGCGCAACAGCGTCATCACAGACGGCTGCAAACTGCAGGGGTTCGACCACAACATAGAACGGGCCAACAGGCAATTATGCACGCCGAGAACATAACGGGAATTGGAGGCTGAAAGTACGACGAAAACCGCCCACACGCGCCAAAGCGGCAATAGAGAATCTGTGAAAAACTTTGCCATTAACGAGGCTCGAACCAAGCCCTATTAAAGTTTAGGTCCAACCGGGAATCGAACCCGAACTCCCCGCGCTGAACGCGACGGCGCTAACCACTACACCACCGGACCGTAGACTAGTATGCCGGCGCGCGGGACCTTTCCGCTGCGCGAACGAAAGCTACCCGACCCTATTACCGGGGTTACATGAGCGATCCGTTCCAAATACGCACTACGCTAATGCGCATCAGCTCCCCACAAACGGATCTACGGCACCGGTTACATGAGACTAATTCGTTTTATCTACGTCAAACGGATCTTGTTTGGCTCACCCGGGCTGACTCCTCGACGGCCGGTAATTCGCATCACAAACGGAATAGGATTAGCGTACAGTCATGGCGCAGTTGCGGCATTTACCGGGACGACTGAGCTAAATTTTAAATACTTATATCATTTGATAGGCTCAAAAACATTTAAAATTAACATGAAATCAAAAAATGAAAACAAAGTTTTCTTGTTTTAAGTCAGTGGGCACTGATTCGCCATGCAGCGACAGCAGGGTGGTCAGAAAAAAATTATCTATCAAAATATTTCATTCATTTTATTTCACATGCAAAGACTAAACCAAAATACCAACATTTTTTTTTGCTATTTTCTACGAGGCAGCCAATAAAAAAATGCTTAGTATTTTGCATTTTGACGCTTCCAGTCAGCAAAGAATAGTTCTTGTGAAATACGGCCCGAATCGTGTGCCTCGGACGTTTCGGTTACATGAGCGATCCGTTCCAAATACGCACTACGCTAATCCGCATCAGCTCCCCAAGAACGCATTCAGTGCACCGACTACATGAGCAAATTCGTATCAGTGACGTCAAACGGATCTAGTTTGGCTCTCGGCCCGATGCGCATTACAAACGGAATAGCATACAAATGTGGCGCACTTCCGTAGCAATAGAGGTGACTAAATTAAAAATTTATTATCTTATGTCTTTTTTTGCATTTAATCTGCTCAAAACATTCTCAATTAACTTAACAAAAAAAAGTTGAACATAAAGTTGTCTTGCTTTGACTCATTGGGCAATTGCCACTCTTGATTCGTCTGTAGTGCTGTCAGAAAAATGTTTCAACTGAAATTATGTGGATATTTACTATTTGGTTTTCACTATATTTATTGTTGAAAACTTGACAAAATACCGACATATTTTTTTAAATATTATTTCAAAAGAAGAAAATGAAAAAAATACCTATTATTTTGCATTTTAATGTTTCTTTTTGCGAAGAAATAGTTCCTGTAATACGTATCTTTGTCCTATTCGCTTCTAAGACTCTTTCCCAGCGGATTTTGTTCGGACCGCCGATTCGTATTAGCAAGTGGATACATGAGTCGGTAGTACGCTCCTGATTCGCATTAGCGGTGAATCCGATCGTGATACGTATTTGCTTTGCTCATGTAACCGCGGATCGGATCGCCGATTCGTACTAGCAGGTGGCTACATGAGTCGGTAATGCGTTCCTTATTCGAATTAGCGGCTAAATACGTATTTACTGTGCTCATGTAACCCCGATATATGAAAGACAATGGAAAGCGGCCGGATCATAGGTGGCGCGAGCGGCGCGGGAAGTGCGATGACGTAGCCCCCGAGCCGCCCAATCCCGTCCCGTGGAACCACGCCGCCCCGCGGCTGTCCCACCGATGATACCCGCCGCCGTGGAAGGGAAGGGAAGATGCGCCATGTTGGAACCATCTGGCCAGGAAATGGGGGTCGGCCCAGAACAAGCACCATAGAGCACGTTGGGGCCGGACGCCACACGGAACAGACACGGGGCCGGAACGGTGCCGGCAAAAATATATACCATACATAGAGCAGGGGCAGAGCATCTAGCATAGCGCTTGTAAGCAACGGCAACCGCCGATTGACGGACACGATCCGGAAAAATACGGCAGGCGATGCGTAACTGATACCGTGACTTACCGCCGCAGCCTGGACACGCACCCAACACAGGGAATTCACCGGGCTATAGCTGCTTGTGCTCTCAAGCGGGGCTCATAACGCCCGTAATGTGTACTCACGACAGAGGAAATCACTCGCAGAAACCACTCGTGTCCGCTGCGGTTGAGCTCTGAAGCGACAATGGCGGCTAGGCGATGCGCTCGTACGGCGCATGCGCCAACTACGCCTGTCTCCGGTACGGTAGTATTTTACTTTACGGTACGGTTAATATATATCGCACTGTACTACGTTGCCGCACGGCTGACCAATAAATGCTTTCCAGGTGCCAGGGCCCCCGAAAGACCATTTCAGTGCACACACTGAAAACTTTTTTACACCCGGTCAGAGTGTTAACACCGCAGACGAGTGTCGATGATCTGTACCGTTTTTACACTTTGCTGCAGTGTTCGTCAGCACTCAAACCAAGGGTATATGAACACTTGCTTGAGGTGTTGCCCTCTTCAGTTACACTTCTGTTGTGTGTTACACTTAAGTTTTAGATTCTTCAATTTTCTATTAACGCCTTTTAAAGGTTTTACGCTTTTGTTACACACCTATCCACCGGGTGCTTTCTACACTTGATCAGAGTGTTAACACCTTAGACAAGTGTCGTTGATCTGTACCGTTTTTAACACTCTGCTATGGTGTTCGCCAACACTCGAGGAGAAGGTACCTGAACACCTGTTTTACGTGTAATGCTCCAGATTTACTCCCTCCCTGAATGTTACACTTTCTTTGCAGCCCACCCAATCGGTGTGTAGTTCCCATTGCACACTCGCAAGAAGTGTTAACTATCTACCTGTCACTTCTATTACTGCACTTTTACGCCGCTACTGGACTGTCACGAACCCCATTGCATGCTGTGTCACATTTAACGATTATCAGAGCATACAAAAGTCCCACACCATACAACGCATTGCAATGATGACGATGATGCTAATGCTGCCGGCGACTACGACGACGGTGATAATGATGAGTGTGAAGACCACGCTAGCGGTAGCCAAGGCAACGAAAAGAGCGAAGACATTACAGGTATGTATTACACAAGTACCGGCGTCTCTGGCATGTCTCTGAACTTAAAGGAAGACTGCCACCTTCAAAAAGTTTTCTCAGATCGGCCTATGATTTATTCCCTGGACAAAACAAAATTTTAGAATTCACCTGACAAAGTATCATCACGTGAATCGCGAAAAAATTGTCGATTATCATACAATTATCAATCGGTTAATGTCTAGCGACAATGTTTACACATCACTAGACTTCAAGGTCATAAGATTATTACATTTTATTTGAAAAAGTAAGGTATTTTATGATTTACTAATATATGATTTCATAAGAAATTGGCCATGTTTAATTTATTTTGCATTTAAGTTCGTAAAACATTTAAAAATCATGGCTCATTTGGAATGGGTCTGGCCCATGCTAAACCCCATTTCCCACACTTTTTTGGAAAAAATGAACTACTGAATATATTGTTTATTGTTTATTGTCACGAAGATCCAATCATATCCTCTGAGAAGGGCTATTCTATGATTTTCGTCATACAATGGAGAATCGGAGCAAAAGCTCCAGTTCGCACCATTAACAGCACATTAAAACATCACTGAACACACAGAATTAAAAACACTTGGGTAAAATCGCAGGTAAAGACAATTAGTACATACAAGCTGGTGATCTAACACGATAACGAGTTGGCTGTATCCCGCACTAGCGCCGGGACATGAATTGAATATCAGTTTACAATACATACTTATTCAAACTTATAACAGACTTGCCGTATAGACGACACAAAGCGCTTCAATGATCACCTCGCTGAAGAAGATACACGCAGCGCCCCTCACCAGCGCTCGGAACAGACTGAAGGCGCCGGCTCACCGGCCGGCTGCCAATCGCGGTTGAGAATTAGAGCTGCCAGATTTCCAATGGAAGCAAGCACAGTTCCCGAATGTTCTGTTACGAGAAGTAATCGAGACGCTAGAATTATGTATCCAGTGCAGATATTAAGATGACTAATGGGCTGAACAGCCGTTTTTAAAGAGCTTCGCATACCATGTGTCCGTGTTGTAATTGATAACATTGATAATCTGGCAGCTCTATAAACGTCAGCTGATAGGACCTAATTATCGTGGTCGGCCGCAACTGGCCCATTCCGCCGGCGAATTCAGTTTCTTCTGAGCACTGGTGAGGGGCACTGCGTGTGTCTTCTACAGCGAGGTGATCATTGAAGCGTTTTGTGTCGTCTGTACGGCAAGTCTGTTATAAGTTTGAATAAGTATGGTCAGTAAACTAGTATTCAATACTTCACTTGTGTCCTTGCTGCCTTTGTCTTTTTATTTTGTATCCGATTTTTGTCACGAGATTAAGCGATAATAAATCTGCCATGTGCAAGATTTTAAAAACAATTGTAACAATCATTGCATCTTCAGTTTTTCTTTAACATCCCTTGACGTGAAATATAATAATGATAAGTTACGTTATATAAAACCGACATAAAGAAACCAAAGACAAAACCAGCAACGAAACAAGTGAACGTATTGAATATCGGTTTACAATACATACTTATTCAAACTTATAATAGACTTGCCGTACAGACGACTCAAAACGCTTCAATGATCACCTCGCTGTAGAAGATACACGCTGTACCCCTCAGCAGTGCTCAGAACAAACTGAATTCGCCGACAGAATGGGCCAGTTGCGGCGGACCACGATAATAAGGTCCTATCAGCTGACGTATTAGAGCTGCCAGATTATCAATGTTATCAATTACAACACGGACACATGGTATGCCAAGTTCTTTAAAAACGGCTGTTCAGCCCATTAGTCTTCTTAAAATCTGCACTGGATACATAATTCTAGCGTTTCGATTACTTCTCGTAACAGAACATTCGGGAACTGTGCCTGCTTCCATTGGAAATCTGGCAGCTCTAATTCTCAACCGCGATCGGCAGCCGGCCGGTGAGACGGCACCTTCAGTCTGTTCCGAGCGCTGGTGAGGGGCGCTGCGTGTATCTTCTACAGCGAGGTGATCATTGAAGCTCTTTGTGTCGTCTGTACGGCAAGGCTGTTATAATTTTGAATAAGTATGTTCAGTGAACTGGTATTCAATACTTTCACTTGTGTCGTTGCTGGCTTTGTCTTTGGTTTATTTATGTCGGTTTAATATAACGTAACTTATCATTATTTTATTTCACGACAAGGGATGTTAAAGAAATGACTGAAGATTCTAGACAGAATAAAAAGACAAAGGCAGCAACGACACAAGTGAAAGTATTGAATACCAGTTCACTGAACATACTTCTTCAAAATTATAACAGCCTTGCTGTACAGACGACACAAAGCGCTTCAATGATCACCTCGCTGTAGAAGATACACGCAGCGCCCCTCACCAGCGCTCGGAACAGACTGAAGGCGCCGGCTCACCGGCCGGCTGCCAATCGCGGTTGAGAATTAGAGCTGCCAGATTTCCAATGGAAGCAAGCACAGTTCCCGAATGTTCTGTTACGAGAAGTAATCGAGACGCTAGAATTATGTATCCAGTGCAGATATTAAGATGACTAATGGGCTGAACAGCCGTTTTTAAGGAGCTTCGCATACCATGTGTCCGTGTTGTAATTGATAACATTGATAATCTGGCAGCTCTAATACGTCAGCTGATAGGACCTAATTATCGTGGTCGGCCGCAACTGGCCCATTCTGCCGGCGAATTCAGTTTCTTCTGAGCCCTGGTGAGGGGCACTGCGTGTATCTTCTACAGCGAGGTGATCATTGAAGCTCTTTGTGTCGTCTGTACGGCAAGGCTGTTATAATTTTGAATAAGTATGTTCAGTGAACTGGTATTCAATACTTTCACTTGTGTCGTTGCTGCCTTTGTCTTTTTATTCTGTCTAGAATCTTCAGTCCTTTCTTAAACATCCCTTGTCGTGAAATATAATAATGATAAGTTACGTTATATAAAACCGACATAAATAAACCAAAAACGAAGCCAGAAACGAGACAACAGAACGTATTGAATATATAATAATGATAAGTTACGTTATAAAAACCGACATAAAGAAACCAAAGGCAAAACCAGCAACGAAACAAGTGAACGTATTGAATATCGGTTTACAATACATACTTGTGGTGAATTAACAATAAAAGCCGGTTCGTTATCAAGAAAGAGTTGAATTGATTTTACTTTATATTATCTTCGGCGGCGGCGACTCTCAACACTCTCAACACGTGGCGGCGACACAATCACGGCGGCAGTCAGGGCGGAACTCAACCACGAGGACGAAACGGGGGCGAAATCAACTCGGTTTATACAGCGCAATGTGAAGGATCCAGGACGGGCTACCAGACAGAGGATACTTTAAAAGTCGGAAAGGAAACTAGTATAGGCACGGGGAGGATAAAGGAAAAGGGCTCGAACACACGACATACTCCCCACCCGAAGTAACTCGGGTTACTTCGCAAAAGCCAATGCTCAAGCGTCGGCAACACAGGGCGGACCGCGAGCAGCCAGCTCGGCGCTTCGCGACGATACAAGTGCGCAGACAGACGCACAAAACAAATCACAGCGCTTAAACCCGTCTCGACACTTCACATGACATACTGAGCACAACCACGTGCAATCAGCATACACAGAAACGGTCCTCTAGTTCTGACGCGCGCACAACTCGGCACTCGGGCACGTCAGTCGCCATTCCGAGCTCACAACTCGGCACTCGGGCACAGCTCAGTCGCCATTCCGCGCACACACCGACAGGCGCGCGGACGAGAGTCTTACTCGGCGGCCTCCAGACTGAAGAGTCGGGAGATTGGCCGCCGCGTTAGCTTGCCGCGCACACGGAGAAAAGCCGCTCGGCAGCGGCCGTCCGGTCCCGGGATGAGCGACACCATCCGGGCGAGGGGCCACGTGCCCCGGCGTCCTTCGCCCTGCAGCAGGACGACCTCGCCGACCGCGGGCAGGCGAGTGGGGCGGCCGCGCGGCGACGCGGCCCAGCCTCTCAGCGTCTCGAGGTACTCGGTCGTCCACCGACGGACGAGACGGTCACTCACACGGCGCCGGTTACGCCAGGTCCTGCCCACATGGGAGTCAGAGTCAAGACTGGGACAGACCACACCGGAGATGGTGGTAACCCCAAACAACAGGTGAGCCGGGGTAAGTAGATCATCTCCATCACCAGGGGTCAGGGGCCTCAGGTTGAGATGAAACGCAAGTTCATACAGCGTCACAGCCAGTTCATCATACGACAGGTGGCACTGGTGCAACGTAATCTTCAGGGCGCTCTTGGTCACACCGACGAGCCGTTCCCAGAACCCGCCCCACCACGGGGCGGCCTCGGGGATGAAGCGCCACTTGACTGACCGCGGCTGACGAGAGCACGGAAAGTACGGGCATTGTCACTGACAATCAGACTGGGCGTTCCTCGCAGGGCCATGAAACGCCTGAGCGCCAGGGTGAGATCAGCGGCACTCTGAGACCGCACCAGTTCCAGGTGTACGGCACGAGACGAAGCGCAGGTAATCAGCAGCGCCCACACTTTGGTGTCTCTATCCACATACAGAGGGCCAAAGTAATCGATTCCCACCTTGGAGAATGGGCGCGAGACTTCTGACCTGAATGCAGGCAGACGGCCGTCCGCAGCTCGGTAGGGCAGTCCTCTGTACCGCCGGCACCTGAAGCAGGTCCCCAGCACTCGGCGCACCGTCCTCCTGCGGATGAAGTACTCGCCCGACAGGAGCGCGAGCGTCACTCTCGTTCCCTGGTGAAAACAGCGGCGATGCGCCTCGTCAACGATCAGCACAGTGATATGTGCCCACTCCGGGAGAACGATCAGCGGCGGCTCATTGGTCCTTGGCACGGAACACAACAGTCCATCATCGCTGATGCACAGGACACACTTGGCTAACGGGGAACTCACCGGCAGCAGAGTCCCGTTTCTCACCGCACGCAGCTCCTCCGGGAAGGCGCGCCGCTGGGCCTCCCGGATCCAATACACGAGCGCCTCTCTCCTCTCCTCTGGAGACAGCGGTCCGGACTGCCGCTCAGTCTCAGGACTCCGGGCGTTGTGGACGAACCTCTTCAGCCACGCGATCCTGTTCACGGCGGCTCCAAGATCTGAGAAATCGGTGGCCTGGAACGCGTCATCAGCAGTCTCTACCGACGGCACGTTCTGCATCACAGGGTGGCTACGAGTCACAGGAGCCACCCTCCTCTCCTCCACGTCGGCCTCAGGGCTCACCGTCTCCACCGGGTCTGGCTGAGGAGGCAGGTCAGAGGTCACGAGTAACGGCGGGCCGTTCCACCACTTCGCAGACTCTGCGAGCTGAGACAGGGTGATGCCCCTCGTACCCAGGTCGGCTGGGTTCTCAAGCCCCCGGACAAACCGCCAGCGGTCAGGATCGGTCAGCTCTCTGATGGCAGTCACACGGTTGTGAACAAACACGCGGAACAGTTTGTCACTCTTGATCCAACACAAGACATCTGTCGAATCAGTCCAGTACGTCACACTGGGTGCTGACAGACACAGTGACTCAGTCACGAAGGCCATAAGTCGGGCCCCGGTCAGCGCCGCCATCAGCTCGAGCCGGGGGACAGTCAGGCTCGGGTTGATCGGCGCCAGTCGTCCCTTGCAGATCAACAACTGTGACTCCCCACCCTGAGAGACATACACAGTGGCACAGTAGGCGGTCTTGGAGGCATCACAGAAGACATGATACTGCGTGCCCAGACTGGTCTCACCGATCATCGCAGCACGCGGGAAGGAGACTGTGCTGCCGGCAGAATCTTGCCACCAGGCGGCGACCTCTGCTTGCAGCGCATCGGGCAGCGGCTCGTCCCACGTCAGCTCCACCGACCAGGTCCGCTGGAACAGAGCCTTCCCTCTGACGAGCCACGGGGTGAGCAGGCCCAACGGGTCAAACGGCTTTGCCACTGCGGACAGAAGCTCACTCCTGGTGCGAGGACACAACATCTCAGGCACGGTCACAGCGAGTCGGTCAGTCTCGGTGTTCCACGCCAGACCCAACACTTTTTATTAAGTTTTTAGAAAAACGCAATTTTCAAAAAAGGCCATCGATCGATTTTGATAAAAAATACATTTTTGGATTCAGCTCACCGTAAGCTTTCGAATGGTATATATCGTTTCTTTTGAGCCTGAGATGACCTTCCGACGAACCGTGGAGAGCTCGAGGTGCCCGCTCCGCCTGACGTCGGCTGGTGCGTCACGACACGACCAAGTCACGACCTACTTTTGGCGTACTTTTGTCTGCAGCCCCATCCGTTAGTTGCGTAGGTTTCATGAAAGTAATTTAGGGTTTCATTGCTCGACGCTAGTGACCTGTATATTAAACCTCATCAACGCGCTAGCGACATCTCGCAGGAGCCAAGAAGACTTGACATTATGCAGTGAATCATTCAAACTTTGCAAGTCATTGGTAACTTTGCCGAGAACATAGGCGGCAGAACGGGGAGGGCACCGGGGCACCGTGCCCCCCTTTGATTTTGAAATTTTTACATTAGCCCTATGGGCGTTGCATGGAAAGAATTTAGAATGGGACCAGAAGTCGGCAGACGGCAGTGCCCACATTTATGGTGACATTTATTTCCAGATAGTAAATTTAACTAGAAGGATAAGGCTATGGCCACTGCCCAGTAGCCTTATCCACATGGCCACATGCGAACAAAACAACGGCACACAACGAATCAACGCCAAAGATTAAAGGCTGTTTAAATCACGCCTGGCATGTGTTCAATTGCTATGTAAAGAGTTGTGCGATGTGCAGTATCAGTGCCAGCAGTGTGGCCAGTGAAGCCTCAATCTGAAGTCTGCGACGAGCGCCAGGCCTCCTGCTGGCAGGCCAGCGAGACGGGTTGCGAACCTCAGGGACCACAGCCCGGGTCGTCGAAACCGTCAGGCAGGGCGACGATGGAAGATGAGCGAGCATATCGGCACGATAGGCTTCAGTCCATAGGTGGAGAATTGTAAAAATCCACGTGGGTGTTGAATCAGTGGCGGTGTTGAATGCCTTGCCGATGGTGCATGTCGGTCGACTCCATGGCAGGGTGGGGTAAACCTCAAGTTAGCACGCCACGTCGTTAATGACAAATGAAAGGAATGGTCATTCAAATCAAATTGAGCTTGCACTGTGCACATGTGCAAAGGCTTCTTGCATGTCTAAAAAAAAACTGCTGGACTGATTGCGGTCTAATTGGTAAACCACTACACCTACAGTTCGGTTAGAAAAAATGGTGTGCAAAAATCATCACGCCAACCTCGTTCATCAGAAGAAGACTTTCGAATGCGATCGACTTTGTTCCGTATTCTGGTGTTGCGCTCTCTCCTTTGGCGACCAACCACTTCGTCATTCTGTGTTTTTTTTTAAAGATCGAAACGAAGCATGAATTGCATATAGTGGGGACATGGCAGGAAGTCCGACGGTTATAGTCGTCAGCAGTACGCCTCCCCACAATCAGCTCACTAAGCATGTGCTACTCGGCTTGCTCATTTCTCGCTACTGATCTACAAGAAATATTAAACTAAGAGACCCCATTTGTCGGCCCGACGTCCCACACCAGTCTCTATGGATCTTACGCAGGGTTCTGCTGGGCCACGTCAATCTTCGAAAGCCACATTTAACTAGGCTCATGGCCCCCCACATTGGTCATAGTCCTATCCTTGGACCCCTGAGGGCCCTACGGCCCACGTTGCCTGGGTCTCTCCGTCTCTGAGGTCCAGTCAGTCGTTTGAGACCTCATACGGCCGGCGAACCGGCCTCTAAAGCCTTATTCAGAGCCCAATTGTTCCGGAGTCGTTTTTTTGCAGCATTTTTCGCCTCAGACAAAAGCATGCCGATCTCTAGCACTCTGAGGGCCGACAAAGGTCTCTGAGAAACTCCAGGGCGGCCTCTGTGCTGGACCAAGCTCGCGTGAGATGATCCCACATATAGGTCTTTGAACACGGAGCCCCACTGCACTGGGCCGGGGTGCACTGTGCACCTCAAAAGTATGTGTGCATAGGGCCCTCATAGAGGCAGTGGTGGCGGAGGAGAGGCGGCGAAGAGGCTGTGCAGGTGCGCCTCCATTCAATGACTGGCCCTGGTTGCCCAGTCTAAGGCGTCGACGGTTTCTAAGGTTTCTTGTACTGGCTGATGAGTGACACCTTCATGTCGCCGAGTGTGTGGACCACCTGTTGCTGACTCGCTGAGCCTGCGTCCGCTGTACTGCGGCAGCTGGCCGTGCCCAGGACGCGGTAAACATCCTCCAGCGCTCTCACGCGGAAATGAAATGCCGGATCTGTGGACAGGCATGATCTATGTGAATGATGTGTAAGGGAAAGGGGTGTAGGTATGTGTGTGGGGAAGAGCATGAAATGTGAGCAAGAGAGTGAAAACAGCCGGAAGCCCAGTCAAAGCCTAGATAAATAAACAGACACAAATGCAAGTCGCAAACCTTGCTTGCCTACCTGTCCTGCAATTTAGCGCGATTTTACACTGACATTTGTGAAAATTGACGGGGAAAAAATTGTAATGAAAGTAAATATAAACTAAATAAGGTGCAACGTAAATATATAGTTTCATCGTTATTCTAACCTTTCAGGAGAATGAGTTCTCTGCGTAGATCTGCGATCTGCGCAGGCCGCGTCTCTTATCCGAGCTTCTTTTCCTGGGTGTCGCGCAGAAGCTCCCGGTTGCGCCTGAAGACAGATAGCACCTGCCCGGCGTGAGGTGCCAATCGCGTGTCGGACCACGCTTCTGGTCGAAGGGGCAAACAGGTGGTGCAAGGTGCAAACTTCCTTGTTCAAGTGTAAATTTTTTTTCAGTGTGGCACATCATTCCAAAACTGTCGCAATAATAAGGGAAAGAGAACCAATGTATTTTCTGAGCAAAGGTAGGCGGGTGGAGCCGTCGCTCAGACTCCTGACCTGCAGGCACAGGCTAGTGCTGGTTCAGCTTTTGGTGCATCTCACTCACCATCATGGGCACCTTCACTGGGTGGTGAACACACAACACATATCTTTCTATGAAGACGGCGGTTCTGTTCAGCTGTTTTGCGTGCTTTCTGAATTCTGATGAAAGACGTTCATCGCCCAAACAAGGAGAAGCACACTTTCTATGACAGCTTAAACGAAAATCCATCGAATCTGCAGCCTTGGTTTAACAAAACAAATGCTCCTCCATGTCTCATCAACCCCTAGTTTGGGCATCTGCCAGTGGCGGCGGAAGCGGGGGGGCAGCGGGGGCACGGCGCCCCCCCATCTTCCAGGGTGGGGGTGCAAACATATCTTTTTGCCCCCCCAAATTGTTATCGACGAAGTACCACAATACTTCCATACTACGTCATGAACATATACCAGTTTGGCTGAGTACCTTTTTAAGTTAATAGAGCGAGTAATTTGGAATGGATTGATATTGTTGTCAATGTCGTCGTACATATTTTGATCACATTGGCTAGCATTTTGCAGTGCGAGTGTTACCAACCAAAAAGGTTTGCAATAGCCAATAATTGGCTAACTTTAATGACGTCATTGGTTTAAAGGAAGCAAGTTGTTCAACGCGAACAACAGTCACGGTGACAGCCACAGCGTGCTACACGTATTTGAACTGGACTTGCCGCAGTGGCGCGGGAACCAGAGGGGCGGTTCCCGGGAACCGGCTGGAGGGGCTAGCGGGGGCTGAGCCCCTCCAACTTTTCGGCGGGGGGAGGGCTCGTAATGTAGGTATTTGAGACCCTCCAACCGGAGGAATCGAAATCGGAAATCTACCAACATAATTTCATAGATTTATTACCTTTTCGAAATGTTAACCAGAAACAACCTTCATTATGGAGCGTTCTAACGCAGAAGACTGTGACAACATGTAAGCACATATTCATTCTCTAAATATCATACATTTCCACCAAACGCCCTCCACACATAATGCTCAGAAATCAAGCAGCTATCTACGAGCTACCGGTAACCGGAAGAGTAGGACGGAACGCGAGTGGCCCGGCATGCGGACGTCACAGAAGCGCGTCTGAGCGTGCCACAGGCCTTTCCCCGCGACTCTGCCAGACGCCAGCCGGCATAGACTCGTGAGCCGGGGGGCAGCATGGGGGTAGCCTGCCCCCACAACTCTGGGGCCGTGGGGAGCGCAGGCGCTGCCCCCACAAAGTTTCATAGGGCCAGGAACCGTCGCACACTGGTCGGAAACGCCCTCACGAGAGGCCACGGGCGATTCCGGAGTTTCGGATTATTTTTTATATAGATCGATTTGAAATTGATCAAATTATTATACTTAGGCCAAAAAAACTAATCCGGTTGACCAAAAATAACTGTAATCAGCCCCCGAAGATGGGGTATCCCAGAACTCGGAAACTGACGCGGAGCAAGAGGTTTCTTGAGCCGGATATTCAGAGTCTTATTGCTGATAGACACCAAATTGAAATCCCACATATTATGCATCAAAATGTTCGTTATGAAGTTGCCGACTGGTCAGTGCAAAATTTTTGGTATACCTTTTCCCTAACTAAGATTTACTGTAGCTTTTTATGAAGGCTCTCCTACAGTGATTCTGGAATATAACTGCAAAGTTTAAGTAAGGAAACAACAGGTAGTCCCATCTAGTCCCACTCTGATTTTTTGTGAGCTGAAGCAGGATTTAAATTTACACCAGGGCAACATAAAAGCTAACTGCGCATATTTGCGCAAAATTTGCAGGAGCCGCTCTTCCTACCCAAGTACCGCCCGCCCCGCCCCAGTTTCGGCTCGGCCGCCGCGCCCGGCTTACGCTGACCTGTGTGGCCTGCACGCATTCATGCGTAGTTGACTGGTCATTAAAAACAGATGCGCTTGAGTTCATGAATTTTGTGAAAAGCGCGTTTTATGTATGCATTTTTGTATGCATTGACATCAAAAGCCTTCCACATATTGCGTGGCGATTACGGCTTGCATTTAGAGAGCCTTGCTATTGACAGCCATCACTCGGCTGAAGAAAGTGGAAATTGAAACCTTCGTGAATATAAGACGCTGCAAATATAGGGCACCTGTCA